TGACCCTTCATGAAATGACAATAATAGCACCTCATCTTGTTCAATAGACAGAGGTGTGTGTGTGTGTGTGTATGTGTGTGTGTGTGTGTGTGTGTGTTTGTGTCCTGCTCAGCTATGGTGCAGGTTTGTAGTCTGCTGTGTTGCTGGGAGGTTAATTAAAAAACATTGACCCCTCTTTCGATGTTTTGTGTGTATGCCAGTAAGAACGGGGGACTCAGAATTCAACATACTGCAGAAGGTTGCTCTGATGGAATCTGAAGCAGAACGGTAAAGGAAAGCACATGGGCATGTATAATAAACTATTTTAGAGTCTATTATGGTAATAGTTATGGTAGTAATCTCACTCCAGTATGCATTTGCTGAGTGGCCAGAACCACAGTGGCATAGATGGTAGTTCCCACACTCTCTAGAATGACTTGCATAATTCATATTCATATTAATCATGCCAGTATATCTATGGAAATTACCTCCCATAACAGACTGAGACTCCTCGCAGGGAACGGAAGCAGTGTGTAATGGCTGTGTAATATCTGCAAATGAGGACAAGTTAGGTCTCTGGTGGGGTCCTCACTCATGGACAATACTAGCTCCTTTAAGCTAAGTATAGGTCTAGGGTTCAGAGAGTGTGGCATTACTGGCATATGCAGTGGTACTTAAGTATATTTGAGCAATTACATCTACCTTTAATACTTAAGTATATTTATTTTAGACTTTTATTCAAGTATTATTTTACTGGGTGACTCACTTTTACTTGAGTCATTTTCTATTAAAGTATCTTTTACGTTGACTCATTTATGACATTTGATGGAGTTGCTGTACTGCAGCTGTACGTGGTGAGAATGTTGACCACTAGGTGGCTCTCAGCTCTTCTGCCTCTGCTGTCTGCTCCCTCAGTGTCTGTCTCAAACTGCACTGTACAACACTATGATGCAATTATGTGCATGGTCAGTGGTGCAGTACTTTGATGCCATGGCACCAGGGACAATGGGTTTTTACCTCAGTACTACCTCAGTTGTCAGTCTCAAACATTTGCACTCTGAATGTATGATGGCTATATTACATTTAGCACTTTAACAGTCAAGTATCTATACCATATCTACTTTAACAGTCAAGTATCTATACCATATCCACTTTAACAGTCAAGTATCTATACCATTTCTACTTTAACAGTCATGTATCTATACCATATCTACTTCACATCAATGCTCCCCCACACAAATTCACATACATAACACGTTTTTTTTCTCACAAGGATATAGCAAGGGAAAACCTATTCTGTCCTGTCGCATCAATTCCCTTGAGATAATTCAAACAAAGACTAAAAATGCTTTTCCTCTCAACTCTGCAGACTGATTTCACCGGGGAATCCTTTTAAAGGTCACCCCAAAACCCACAGATAACGTTTTTGCTCTGTTTTGGTAAGGCTTTTTCAGAGACGAATGCGTGCTGCCTCATCACCTCCCCTCCATGCTGCGAGGACCCCTCCCCTCCCCGAGGACCCCTCCCCGAGGACCCCTCCCCTCCCTGTGATAACTAAGCAGCATCCTCCATCTCAGTTAACATCATGTGTGAACGTGACAGCAGCACAGGCAGGAAATAAATGTCGGCCTAAATGATCCATCCGCTACACATTGACTTTATCTCAATTCATCTTTCCATTATTCCTCACCTCCTTCTCAACCGTATTGGAGGAGAAGGTCCAAGGTCCCCCCTCTTAGGCCTTCTTCTCCAATGCGCTTTGAGGACGTGGTGAGGAGAGAGGATGCGAGGAACCGAGGAAAGATGAATTGAGAAAGCGTTGATGAGTAGCGGATGGGCCTCGTCTCATGTGCTGCTATCCCCTTCATGTTGTGTCTGAAACCTGTTGTCCATGTATCGTTTATCCCACAGGACCAGACCTAAAGAGGGACTAGAGGCTTGTTTAGGGACAAAGGATGTAAGGTGTTGGCAAGAGAAGCAAAGCCTTTTATCGAGTCCCTCCCGCATGCCTTGATCATGTGGCCGTGCCCAGCATGAGGTGAGACGAGGTGAGATGAGAGAGGAGATGCTACTACTACAACTGCTATTACTACTACTACTGCTACTGCTACTACTATTACTACTGCTACTGCTACTGCTACTACTACTACTACCACTTTGAAAAGAAGGTTGACGACATTCGATCCTCGTTTGTTAAGTCTAATGACACTGCTGGTCCTACTCACACTGCCCTACCCTATGCTTTGACTTCTTTCTCCCCTCTCTCTCCCAGATAAATTCCTGCGACTTGTGACTGCAGGGCCGCCCAACAACCTGCCCCGCTTGACCCCATCCCCTCCTCTCTTCTCCAGACCATCTCCGGTGACCTTTCTCCCCTACCTCAACCTCGCCTGATCAACTCATCCTTGACCGCTGGCCATGTCCCTTCCGTCTTCAAGAGAGCGAGAGTTGCTCCCCTTCTCAAAAAACCAACACTCGATCCCAACTGATGTCAACAACTACAGACCAGTATCCCTTCTTTCTTTTCTTTCCAAAAACTATTGAGCGTGCCGTCTTAGCAAACTCTCTTGCTATCTCTCTCAGAATGACCTTCTTGATCCAAACCAGTCAGGTTTCAGGACTGGCCATTCAACTGAGACTGCTCTTCTCTGTGTCACGGAGGCTCTCCGCACTGCTAAAGCTAACTCTCTCTCCTCTGCTCTTGTCCTTCTAGACCTGTCTGCTGCCTTTGATACTGTGAACCATCAATCCTCCCTCTCCACCCTCTCCGAGCTGGGCATCTCCGGCGCGGCTCACTCCTGGATTGCGTCCTACCTGACCGGGTCGCTCCTACCAAGTGGGCGTGGCGAGAAAGCTGTCTCCGCACCACGTGCTCTCACCACTGGTGTCCCCCCAGGGCTCAGTTCTAGGCCCTCTCCTTTTCTCCCTATACACCAAGTCACTTGGCTCTGTCATATCCTCACATGGCCTCTCCTATCATTGCTACGCTGACGATACACAACTAATCTTCTCCTTTCCCCCTTCTGATAACCAGGTGGCGAATCGCATCTCTGCATGTCTGGCAGACATATCAGTATGGATGACGGATCACCACCTCAAGCTGAACCCTGGCAAGACGGAGCTGCTCTTCCTCCCGGGGAAGGACTGCCCGTTCCATGATCTCGCCATCACGGTTGACAACTCCGCTGTGTCCTCCTCCCAGAGTGCGAAGGAGCCTAGGCGTGACCCTGGACAACACCCTGTCGTTCTCCGCCAACATCAAGGCGGTGACCCGCTCCTGCAGGTTCATGCTCTAACAACATCCGGAGGAGTACGACCCTGCCTTACACAGGAAGCGGCACAGGTCCTAATCCAGGCACTTGTCATCTCCCGTCTGGACTACTGCAACTCGCTGTTGGCTGGCCTCCCTGCCTGTGCCATTAAACCCCTACAACTCATCCAGAATGCCGCAGCCCGTCTGGTGTTCAACCTTCCCAAGTTCTCTCACGTCACCCCCCTCCTCCGCACACTCCACTGGCTTCCAGTTGAAGCTCGCATCCGCTACAAGACCATGGTGCTTGCCTATGGAGCAGTGAGGGGAACGGCACCTCTGTACCTTCGGGCTCTGATCAGTCCCTACACCCAAACGAGGGCATTGCGTTCATCCACCTCTGGCCTGCTGGCTCCCCTTCCTCTGCGGAAGCATAGTTTCCCGCTCAGCCCAGTCAAAACTGTTCGCTGCTCTGGCACCCCAATGGTGGAACAAGCTCCCTCACGACGCCAGGACAGCGGAGTCACTCACCACCTTCCGGAGACATTTGAAACCCCACCTCTTTAAGGAATACCTGGGATAGGATAAAAGTAATCCTTCTACCCCCCCCAAAAATTGTAAAGTGGTTATCCCACTGGCTATAGGGTGAACGCACCAATTTGTGAGTCGCTCTGGGATAAGAGCGTCTGCTAAATGACGTAAATTGCCCTTGAGCAAAGGGACTTCACCTATTGCTCCTGTAAGTCGCTCTGGTAGAGGTCTGCTAAAGACAAAATGTATAAATTTAAAAGTAATGTACTACACTACTACTACTACTACATACACTACTACACTACTAGTAGTACTGTACTGCTACGCTCTAACT